CAAATCACAAGAGATAGAAACACCATTGCCAGTGTCTTTATCTGCTAATGGAGAATTTTACCTATTTATTCCCCCACCAAATGGGAACAACATTGGTTGGATCCCCGTCAGTGATCCAGTTGGTTGGATCCCCGTCATTGATCCAGTTGGTTGGATCCAGTCAGTGATCCAGTTGGTTGGATCCCTGTCAGTGATCCAGTTGGTTGGATCCCCGTCAGTGATCCAGTTGGTTGGATACAGTCAGTGATCCAGTTGGTTGGATCCAGTCAGTGATCCAGTTGGTTGGATCCCCATCAGTGATCCAGTTGGTTGGATCCCCATCAGGGATCCAGTTAGTTGGATCCCAGTCAGTGATCCAGTTGGTTGGATCCAGTCAGTGATCCAGTTGGTTGGATCCCAGTCAGTGATCCAGTTGGTTGGATCCCAGTCAGTGATCCAGTTGGTTGGATCCCAGTCAGTGATCCAGTTGGTTGGATCCCAGTCAGTGATCCAGTTGGTTGGATCCAGTCAGCGATCCAGTTGGTTGGATCCCCGTCAGTGATCCAGTTGGTTGGATCCCCGTCAGTGATCCAGTTGGTTGGATCCCAGTCAGTGATCCAGTTGGTTGGATCCAGTCAGTGATCCAGTTGGTTGGATCCCCATCAGTGATCCAGTTGGTTGGATCCCAGTCAGTGATCCAGTTGGTTGGGATCCAGTCAGTGATCCAGTTGGTTGGATCCCCGTCAGTGATCCAGTTGGTTGGAATCCCCGTCAGTGATCCAGTTGGTTGGAATCCCCGTCAGTGATCCAGTTGGTTGGATCCCCGTCAGTGATCCAGTTGGTTGGATCCCAGTCAGTGATCCAGTTGGTTGGATCCAGTCAGTGATCCAGTTGGTTGGATCCCCATCAGTGATCCAGTTGGTTGGATCCCCATCAGGGATCCAGTTAGTTGGATCCCAGTCAGTGATCCAGTTGGTTGGATCCAGTCAGTGATCCAGTTGGTTGGATCCCAGTCAGTGATCCAGTTGGTTGGATCCCAGTCAGTGATCCAGTTGGTTGGATCCCAGTCAGTGATCCAGTTGGTTGGATCCAGTCAGTGATCCAGTTGGTTGGATCCCCGTCAGTGATCCAGTTGGTTGGATCCCCGTCAGTGATCCAGTTGGTTGGATCCCAGTCAGTGATCCAGTTGGTTGGATCCAGTCAGTGATCCAGTTGGTTGGATCCCCATCAGTGATCCAGTTGGTTGGATCCCAGTCAGTGATCCAGTTGGTTGGGATCCAGTCAGTGATCCAGTTGGTTGGATCCCCGTCAGTGATCCAGTTGGTTGGAATCCCCGTCAGTGATCCAGTTGGTTGGAATCCCCGTCAGTGATCCAGTTGGTTGGATCCCCGTCAGTGATCCAGTTGGTTGGATCCCAGTCAGTGATCCAGTTGGTTAGATCCCAGTCAGTGATCCAGTTGGTTGTAGCCCAGCCACTGATCCAGTTGGTTGGATCCCAGTCAGTGATCCAGTTGGTTGGATCTCAGTCACTGATCAAGTTGGTTGGATCCCAGTCAGTGATCCAGTCAGTGATCCAGTTGGTTGGATCCAGTCAGTGATCCAGTTGGTTGGATCCCCGTCAGTGATCCAGTTGGTTGGATCCCCGTCAGTGATCCAGTTGGTTGGATCCCAGTCAGTGATACAGTTGGTTGGACCCAGTCAGTGAAATATATGATCTGATCTGAGATTGAGATCAACTTGGGCCAAATAAGCAGATCAAATAAAAGCAGATAAGAGATTACTTCTAGTATCTGTCTGGCTGGGTGTGGTGTGGTGTGGTGTGTAGGGATAATGTATCAAGGTGTTTCAGGACAGGATAGGACAGGACAGGGGGAACTCCCCACCGGGAGATAAGCCAATACTAAAGGGAATGCTAGGATCTAAGCCAGTTCTATGGAAATAACAATCTCTCAATTTCTTAATAGGGAATGCTTTGACCTAAGCCAATGATATGGAAATGACAATCTCTCAATTTCTTAATAGGGAATGCTAGGAGCTAAGCCAGTGCTATGGAAGGGAAAATCTCAATCTTTCTCAATAGGGATAACTTGGTTTTGATCCTTTTTTTAAACCCATTTTATTTTAGTCAGCTGTTTGGCCTGTAAGGTGTGGGCCAGCCGGTTACACAGCAGCCTGGTTATTCTAACTAGAATCAATCTAGATCCCTCTGTCATTATTGGTTAAAATAGTTCGGACCACAGTTTTATCCAGTTCGAGATAGAGGCGAGGGGGAAAAAAGCCCTTCAATGCAAGCCCAGCGGGCAACACTGGTTGAAATGCAGTCGAAACAATGACATCACCTCAGACAGTTTCTGATTGTAGGCCTAATGATGTCATTTCACCCAGTTTTATAATGATGTCATCCCAGTTTTATAATGAGGTAAATTCAACCAGTTCCCCCTCCCCCTACATGGGAGTGACAGTGACACGCCCCATACCCATACCCATCCAAGGTCAGGGTTGGCTAGTGACCATTGGTTTATAATCCTCTGACTGACAACTATGGCTGGCCTACTTTGACAGAGATGGTTGGGTAACAGGAAGCTGGCGCTGGTCACTGGTAAAGAACTTAAAACATGTATTTCTTTCAACATCATGAACTTGTACTCGTACTCCCTCTCTACCCTCTCTCTCTCTCTTTCTCTCGTCTGAGTCCGGTCCGGGTAACTCAATCTAAACTCGTAGCGTCTCAATGAGCGGACGTCTCTAGCTTCATCCAAGAGCTGCTGAGAGCCTAGCCTAGCTCTCGCCGAGCTCGCTCTGCTATCCTCTCCTCGCTCCTCTCTCTCTCTTCTCTCACTTTTCCTCCTCTCTCTCTCTCTCCTCTCTCTCTCTTCCTCCTCTCTCTCTCTCCTCATCTCTCTCTCTCTCTCTCTCTCTCTCTCCTCTCTCTCTCTCTCTCTCTCTCTTCCAATCAGAACAGCAGAGTCAATCCGGTTTTCAGCCTTAGCTTTCTTTAAATAACACATTAAATAACACAAAGCCTAAACAGAGAAATAGAAGAACGCCACAGTGGTGGTGGTGGGGACTTACTAGCCGTCGAACAATGACACATCTGACACATTCCTCACTGTAGGAGATCCTTTGCAATGACACACTAAGAACTTTCAAAACAGTTACAGATTACAACCTCACAATGACGTTGGAATGGGCATTCAAACAATGAACACCTGGTTAGGATTATCTAGCAATGATGTAGTCTAGTCCTATTTTATCTCTTTCAGTCCGTATTAACAGCCTTCTGTATACAGTGTAATAATAATAATAAAACATGTTATATTGTTACATATATCGGAGACGTACAGTAGTATTTTAAAGGTAGCAATCTCATATCCATAGTCTTTCTTTGTTTATTTAGTCACGGTGTTCATCGCTGGAATCTGTTTTCTCCCACCCCAATATCCACTGTGGTTCAGGAGATATAATGTCAACAAATTATGCAATTTCTGTGGATCATTCCTTCCCTTTAAAGCTGATATCCTCCGGTAAGTGTGGCCACTTGAAGGTTGTCAGAGTAACTGTTAGAGAGGCCTTATAATACAGCCTATTGGGGCTGGATTAGAGCAGAATGGCCCTCTGGGAAATCATCTCCTGAGAGCTGAGAGCTTAGATACACAATGCTGTCCCAGCAGGCCAGTTCATAGAACACAGTGACATTCAGTGTTGTTGAATGGACTTTACAGTTGCATCAGCGGAAGACAAGGGTCAGGGTTGGGGTTGTAATCCGTGCATAATGGAGGGTCTTGGCTAGATAGATTACAGTTTATGTCAAATTTACGTCAAAAGTAGAATTTTTTTTTTTTTTGGAGCTAACCCTAACCCTTTCCTAACCGTAACTTCATTATCCTAACCTGCTACGATAATTCTCCTAACCTGCTGCGTAAGTTTTCCTAACCTGCTACGAAAGGTCAATTCTGGTCAATTCTGACATAAACTGTATCCTCTCTAGTCAAAACCATAATGGAGCTGGGGATTGTTATATGATGAGTATGTAGGAGTCCCTACGTGACAACAGTCGTTCATACCATAGTGGTGTCTTGAATGTGTTGTGGTACTTACTTTCTAACCCATATTTAGCTCAATCAACCAATTGTATTCCCTACAGAAGTCATATTCTCCAGAACACTGAACTAATACTCTGCGCCCAACTCCTCCGCCTCGATCAGAGAGCACCAGGGGGAGCGAGGACCCGCGCGCGCGGGGTCGGCGAGCACCCGCCTCAAAACCCGCGCTCGGCACACCCTCTCGCAACCCACTCTCTCCGCTAGCGCACACTCTCGCGCACGCGGTACCCGCGGGTGTCGCGGCAACCGCAGAGGCGGCGTCTCTGCAACCCTCTCAACTAACACTCTCTCGACTCTACACCCTCGCACATACTCACTCCTTGTCTCTCTCTCTCTCTCTCTCCTCTTCTCTCATTCTCTCCTCCCTCTCTCTTCTCTCTCTCAATTCAATTCAATTCAATTCAAAAGGGCTTTATTGGCATGGGAAACAAATGTTAACATTGCCAAAGCAAGTGAAGTAGATAATAAACAAAAGTGAAATAAACAATAAAAAATTAACAGAAAGCATTACACCCACAAAAGTTCCAAAGGAATAGAGACATTTCAAATGTCATATTATGTATATATACAGTGTTATAATGATGTGCAAATAGTTAAAGTACAAAAAGGAAAATAAATAAACATAAATATGGGTTGTATTTACAATGGTGTTTGTTCTTTCTTTCTCTCTCTCTCTCTCTCTCTCTCTCTCTCTCTCTCTCTCTCTCTCTCTCTCTCTCTCTCTCTCTCTTCTTTCTCTCTCTATCTCTCTCTCTCTCTCTCTCTCTCTCTCTCTCTCCCTCTCTCTAACCCTCTCTCTTTCACCCTCTCTCACCCTCCCACTCTCCTCTCTCTCACTCCCTCTCTCTCTCTTACCCTTTGGTGTCTGTCTACCCCACCTCCATCTGCAACAACAGCTGTAAGTAAATTCTAGTACAGGAGAATCAGGATGAAAAGATGGCCGCCATGCTGTTACCAACGGGTCCTGATGGCTTGCACCGGTTCACTCGCGAATCCCTGTCCGCCATCGAGCAGCGGATTGCCGAGGAGCAGGCCAAGAACGCCAAGGATTACCAGGAGGATCTGGGCAACGTGGAGCTGCCCATGCCCAGGCCCGACCTGGAGGCCAGCAAACAGCTTCCACGTATCTTTGGTGACATTCCCCCAGGACTGGTTGGGGTACCTCTTGATGACATCGATCCCTTCTACTTCAAGAATCAGAGGGTGAGTGAGGGATGTGTGTGTGTGTGTGTGTGTGTGTTGGGGGGGTGGCACAGGAGGTTGGTGGTACCTTAATTGGGGAGGAGGCTCGTAGTAATGGCTGGAGCGGAATAGGAGGAATGATATCAAATACATCAAATACATGGTTTGATGATATTCCATTCGCTCTGTTCCATTATTATGAGCCGTCCTCCCTGGAGGGAAGGGGGGGGGGGGGGACATGAAACATGATATCTCTGACTCTCTATGATAGTGCCAATACAGTACTGAGATATTCATGGTAACTTGATAGATCAGAGCAATTAAACACAGTATAATACAGTAAAAGTGACTATTCAAATGTAAAATAAAAATACGTTTTACTGTAATTACAAGGGATTAGAGCAGGGTTCTTCAATTCCGGTCCTGGAGTGCCGAAACACCTCTGTTTTTCATCCTCTCCTTCTAATCAGGGGCTAATTCAGACCTGGGACACCAGGTGAGGGCAATTAACTACCAGGTAGAAATAAAAAACAGAAGTGTTTTGGCCCTCCAGGACCGGAATTGAAGAACCCTGGATTAGAGCAAGCAGGTTGGTGTATCCATATTACAGCATATGAACGAACACCAGGTGTTTTATATCACTCGCACTTCTAGAGGCCTTAACAAAGGCTTCCAAACTGGCTGTGATTACAGGGCAAAACAGGGTTAAATATTCAACCATTAAAAGGTTTAAGACCTGCTACCACTCTGATCTTTCCCCTATATTTAATTGTTAGGGAACTACATATCACTTAAATTAGTACAGGACTGTCACTAACGGGTGTAACAATTATAGACCCTTACATGGCTCGTCATTAAAATATGTTACTGAGCCAGTGATTCTTTCTCCTCCCAAAAATATTTATCCACAATGCACCATCATTTACAGTATGCTGCATTAAATATATAGCAAAACAGCAATACAGTACTTTATCGTTGAATTGTATTGAAAATACAACCAGCAACTGCTAATAGTGAATATTTAATAATATATTACACTATACCCACTGATATTTGGTGTTTTATATGACTTGCACTTTAGGCCTTAACAAAGGCTGACTACAGGGCAAAACAGGTCAAAAGGACATGGTTAAACAGTCAGTCATTAAAGGTTTGCGATTTGCTGCCACTCTGATCTGCCCCTTATATTTAATTGTTAGGGAACCAACACCGCATATCACTTAAATTAGTACAGCACTCTCACTAAAGGATGCAAAAAAATATAGCCTCTTTCAAGACACGCCTCAAAATATGTTAACACGTGAAAAACAACAAGACCATGCACCCACTAGCGTTCAAAATATTTTTGGCGTTCCAAAAATGCGGTATGGTACTGTATTCCGAATTACAGTAAATGACTGGCAGCAATTGGCCAGAAGTTACTGTAGAGTTTCAGGACAAGGTTTGTAGAATTCCTAAAATACAGTATATTACCGTATTCTGTGAGGTACAGCATTCTCACTCACTGGTGCAACAAATATAGACTAACAGCGAAATACTTACTTACAGGCCCTTCCCAACAATGCAGAGTTAAAGATAAATAAATATATACAGTGCCTTCGGAAAGTATTCAGACCCCTTGACTTTCCCCACATTTGGTTTCGTTACAGCCTTATTCTAAAATGGATTAAATTGTTTTTTTCTACACACAATACCCCATAATGGCAAAGCCCAAAAAATGTTTTATTCCATTTTGCTAATTTATAAAAATAATAATAATAATGAAACATGACATTTACATAACTATTCAGACCCTTTTCTCAGTACTTTGTTGAAGCACCTTTGGCAGCGATTACAGCCTCGAGTCTTCTTGGGTATGACGCTACAAGCTTGGCACACCTGTATTTGGGGAGTTTCGCCCATTCTTCTCTGCAGATCCTCTCAAGCTCTGTCAGGTTGGATGGGGAGCGTTGCTGCACAGCTATTTTCAGGTCTCTCCAGAGATGTTCGATCAGGTTGAAGTCTGGGCTCTGGCTGGGCCACTCAAGGACATTCAGAGACTTAGGGTCGTTGTCCTGTTGGAAGGTGAATCTTCGCCCCAGTCTGAGGTCCTGAGCACTCTGGAGCAGGTTTTCATCAAGGATCTCTCTGTACTTTGCTCCGTTCTTCTTTGCCTCGATCCTGATTAGTCTCCAAGTCCCTGCCTCTGAAAAACATCCCTACAGCATGATGCTGCCACCACCATGCTTCACCGTAGGGATGGTGCCAGGTTTCCTCCAGACGTGACGCTTGGCATTCAGGCCAAAGAGTTCAATTTTGGTTTCATCAGACCAGAGAATCTGAGAGTCTTTAGGTGCCTTTTGGCAAACTCCAAGCAGGCTGTCATGTGTCTTTTACTGAGGAGTGGCTTCCATCTGGCCACTCTACCATAAAGGCCTGATTGGTGTAGTGCTGCAGAGATGGTTGTCCTTCTCAAAGGTTCTCCCATCTCCACAGAGGAACTCTAGAGCTCTGTCACAGTGACCATCAGGTTCTTGGTCACCTCCCTGACCAAGGCCCTTCTCCCCCGATTGCTCAGTTTGGCCAGGCGGCCAGCTCTAGGAAGAGTCTTGGTGGTTCCAAACTTCTTCCATTTAAGAATGATGGAGGCCACTGTGTTCTTGGGGACCTTCAATGCTGCAGAAATGTTTTGCTTCAATGCTGCAGAAATGTTTTGGTACCCTTCCCCAGATCTGTGCCTCAAAACAATCCTGTCTCTGAGCTCTACGGACAAGTCCTTCGACAACATGGCTTGGTTTTTGCTCTGACATGCACTGTCAACTGTGGGACCTTATATAGACAGGTGTGTGCCTTTCCAGATCATGTCCAATTAATTGAATTGACCACAGGTGGATTCCAATCAAGTTGTAGAAACATCTCAAGGAATGATCAATGGAAACAGGATGCACCTGAGCTCAATTTCGAGTCTCATAGCAAAGGGTCTGAATACTTATGTAAATAAGTAAATATTTATAATAAATGTGCAAAACAAATTAAAAACCTGTTTTCACTTTTTTCATTATGGGGTATTGTGTGTAGATTGCTGAGGATTTTTAGTGATTTAATCCATTTTAGAATAAGGCTGTAACGTAACAAAATGTGGAAAAAGTCAAGGGGTCTGAATACTTTCCGAAGGCACTGTATATATATCTTTGAAATAGTGACACGAGGAATAAATACACAGTGAATAACAAATAACGAGTAAATATAACATGGTTATATACAGGGAGTACCAGGTAATCACATGGCTATATACTGGAAGTACCAGGTAATCACATGGCTATATACAGGAAGTACCAGGTAATCACATGGCTATATACAGGAAGTACCAGGTAATCACATGGCTATATACAGGGAGTACCAGGTAATAACATGGCTATATACAGGGAGTACCAGGTATTTACATGGCTATATACAGGAAGTACCAGGTAATAAACATGGCTATATACAGGAAGTACCAGGTTATAACATGGCTATATACAGGGAGTACCAGGTAATAACATGGTTATATACAGGGAGTACCAGTACAGAGTCGATGTGCAGGGGTACGAGGTAATTGAGGTAGCTATGTACATATAGGTAGGGGTAAAGTGACTAGTCAACAGGATAGATAATAGACAGTAGCAGCAGTATACTGTAGGTAGGGGTAAAGTGACTAGTCAACAGGATAGATAATAGACAGTAGCAGCAGTATACTGTAGGTAGGGGTAAAGTGACTAGACAACAGGATAGATAATAGACAGTAGCAGCAGTATACTGTAGGTAGGGGTAAAGTGACTAGACAACAGGATATATAATAGACAGTAGCAGCAGTATACTGTAGGTAGGGGTAAAGTGACTAGACAACAGGATAGATAATAGACAGTAGCAGCAGTATACTGTAGGTAGGGGTAAAGTGACTAGACAACAGGATAGATAATAGACAGTAGCAGCAGTATACTGTAGGTAGGGGTAAAGTGACTAGACAACAGGATAGATAATAGACAGTAGCAGCAGTATACTGTAGGTAGGGGTAAAGTGACTAGACAACAGAATATATAATAGACAGTAGCAGCAGTATACTGTAGGTAGGGGTAAAGTGACTAGGCAACAGGATAGATAATAGACAGTAGCAGCAGTATACTGTAGGTAGGGGTAAAGTGACTAGACAACAGAATATATAATAGACAGTAGCAGCAGTATACTGTAGGTAGGGGTAAAGTGACTAGACAACAGGATAGATAATAGACAGTAGCAGCAGTATACTGTAGGTAGGGGTAAAGTGACTAGACAACAGAATATATAATAGACAGTAGCAGCAGTATACTGTAGGTAGGGGTAAAGTGACTAGACAACAGGATAGATAATAGATTAGCAGCAGCGTATGAGGTGAGTGTGGAATTGTGTGTGTGTGCTGTCAGTGTGCATATGTGCGCAAGTTATGCGTGTGTGGGCGTATGTAGTGTGTGTATGTGCGCGCGCGTGTGTGTGTGTGTTGGTTTGCCAGTGTAAGGATGTGTGAGTGTGTGTGCATAGAGTTAGTGCGTAGAGAGTCAGTGCGTAGAGAGTTTGTGCGTAGAGAGTCAGTGCATAGAGAGTTAGTGCGTAGAGAGTTTGTGCGTAGAGAGTCAGTGCATAGAGAGTTAGTGCGTAGAGAGTCAGTGCGTAGAGAGTCAGTGCGTAGAGTCAGTGCGTAGAGAGTCAGTGCGTAGAGAGTCAGTGCATAGAGAGTTAGTGCGTAGAGTCAGTGCGTAGTGAGTCAGTGCGTAGAGAGTTAGTGCGTAGAGAGTTAGTGCGTAGAGAGTCAGTGCGTAGAGAGTCAGTGCGTAGAGAGTCAGTGCGTAGAGAGTCAGTGCGTAGAGAGTTAGTGCGTAGAGAGTTAGTGCGTAGAGAGTTAGTGCGTAGAGAGTCAGTGCGTAGAGAGTCAGTGCGTAGAGAGTTAGTGCGTAGAGAGTTAGTGCGTAGAGAGTTAGTGCGTAGAGAGTTAGTGCGTAGAGAGTCAGTGCGTAGAGAGTTAGTGCGTAGAGAGTTAGTGCGTAGAGAGTCAGTGCGTAGAGAGTTAGTGCGTAGAGAGTCAGTGCGTAGAGAGTCAGTGCGTAGAGAGTTAGTGCGTAGAGAGTCAGTGCGTAGAGAGTCAGTGCGTAGAGAGTTAGTGCGTAGAGAGTTAGTGCGTAGAGAGTCAGTGCGTAGAGAGTTAGTGCGTAGAGAGTTAGTGCGTAGAGAGTTAGTGCGTAGAGAGTTAGTGCGTAGAGAGTCAGTGCGTAGAGAGTTAGTGCGTAGAGAGTCAGTGCGTAGAGAGTCAGTGCGTAACACTTTATTAGTACAGACCATCTGTAGATGCTCTACAGACTATCAGCAACATTTCAACTAACTATCTAGTAACCCTAGCGCTAACCCTAACCTTAACCCTTACCCTAACCCTAAACTTAACCCTTACCCTAACCCTAGCCCTAACCTTAAACCTTACCCTTATTCTAAACCTAATCCTAACCGTAACCTTAGCAAACAATTGCTTATCAACAGATAGTTTGTTGATAGTAGAGCTTCTACAGATGGAAAATCCAGACTATTCAAATAAAGTGACTGTTAGTTCAAAAAAGGGTAAATGCAGGTAGTCTGGGTAGCCGTTTGATTAGCAGTCTGGGTAGCCGTTTGATTAGCAGTCTGGGTAGCCGTTTGATTAGCAGTCTGGGTAGCCGTTTGATTAGCAGTCTGGGTAGCCGTTTGATTAGCTATTTCTCAGTCTTGTTTAGCAGTCTTATGGCTTGGGGGTAGAAGCTGTTCAGGGTCCTGTTGGATCCAGACTTGGTGCGCTGGTACCGCTTGCCGTGCAGTAGCAGAGAGAACAGTCTATGGCTTGGGTGGCTGGAGACCATTACCAGAGTCATAGATCAGGCCTCTCTGTCCATTACCAGAGTCTATACAGAGTCATAGATCAGGCCTCTCTGTCCATTACCAGAGTCTATACAGAGTCGTAGATCAGGCCTCTCTGTCCATTACCAGAGTCTTTACAGAGTCATAGATCAGGCCTCTCTGTCCATTACCAGAGTCTTTACAGAGTCATAGATCAGGCCTCTCTGTCCATTACCAGAGTCTTTACAGAGTCATAGATCAGGCCTCTCTGCCCATTACCAGAGTCTTTACAGAGTCATAGATCAGGCCTCTCTGCCCATTACCAGAGTCTTTACAGAGTCATAGATCAGGCCTCTCTGTCCATTACCAGAGTCATAGATCAGGCCTCTCTGTCCATTACCAGAGTCTATACAGAGGGATGAAAAAAGGACGTGGCAGGTACTCATTCTCTCTCTGAGTCTCTTTGTATTGGCATTTGATGCTGCTGCTTGATGCTGCTTTATGCTGCTTGATGCTGCTGCTCATGGCCGGCCCGCTCATTAGGCAGGATTAGGCCGCCGGCTATGGCGGCAGATTGACGAGGGCGGCATTTTCTGAGCTAAACTGACCAAGACAGACGCACTTCCAACAACAACACATAAAACCTCACATAATTCTGCCCAAAAACAATGACAATTTCTCTCAACCAGTGGCATATGGGACCCGTATAGCTCAGTTGGTAGCTCATTTGGTAGAGCATGGCGTTTGCAACGCCAGGGTTGTGGGTTCGATTCCCATGGGGGGCCAGTATGAAAAATAAATACAAATGTATGCACTCACTAACTGTAAGTCGCTCTGGATAAGAGCGTCTGCTAAATGACAAAAAATGTAATATGTGCTTTTTAGGTGAGCGCTGATGCCGCCCTTTGATAAGCAGTGCCCACAACGTCAAAAGGCAGGGGCACAAAACATTTAGCTTGTCCATTCCCAGCGCGCCTCTCCAGGGTACTGTTGGGGAGACGCATCTCTGCAGCGCTCCACCAACGTTCCGTAAAAAAAGAAATCTGACATAAATCGTGTAGTAGATATAGGATATGGTAGAAAGAGTATGTAGTCTTTTATGTAGCCTACAGGCTACAATGTAATGAGACAGAAACTTTTTTTTACATCATGCAGATTTCCCTGATCAAATAGCCTAACCTAAATGGCGCTCAATCAAATAAAAAGACGCGCTGTCATGTTAACAAAGAACGTATCCTAAAAACAGGACAGGTCAAAGTAAAATGGACAATATGGACAATCACAACTGTTGCCCGTTGTCATGATCAATGGTTTCAAGTTAGTATCCGTCAATTTTTGACAAGCTGATCATAGTGAAAAAGGAAAATACTTCTGCATTTACCACTGTGTAAACACATAAAGTTGGGTAGCTGACATTCAGAGTTTAAATATCCAAATTGATTAGTCACAGGAATCATGACTAATAAAGCCAGTGTAACGTCCTGTTTTACAAACGGTGGGCCTACCACATAGATGGGCATTCATAAAATTCAATTTCAGTCAACACTTTAAGCTCAACCCCAGTGAGCGCAGACTGACGCCTTTTGGATGTCTTTTTTTGGTGCAGTTGCGGACCGGCCTTGATTTCCACTTCCACGGACATTGGGTTTTGGTCCGGTCCGGACCAAATCTGAACCAACAATAGAGGTCTATGTTTGGTTCAGATTTGGTGCAGTCCAGACCTGCCTTGATTTCAACGTCCAAGGACATAGATTTTTGGTCCGGTCCGGACCAAATCTGAACCAACAATAGAGGTCTATGTTTGGTTCAGATTTGGTGCAGTCCAGACCTGCCTTGATTTCAACGTCCAAGGACATAGATTTTTGGTCCGGTCCAGACCAAATCTGAACCAATCATAGACGTCTATGTTTGGTTCAGATTTTGTCCGGTCTGGACCAGCCTTGATTTGGCCCAAACGTCTATAAATTATTTATTTTCAACTTTCATTCAGAACCGAAAATGAGCCTCATTTCAACATCCGGAAAATACATATTTTCAACTTCTGTAAAATACGTATTTTCGAAATCAGGAAAAAAAGTATTTTCACCTTTCATTCAGCATCTAAATTGAACCTAACTTCAACGTCTGGAAAATACAGATTTTAGATGTCTTTTCAACGTCATTTTGCTTACTGGGACTATTCTAGTTTTGCGGGGGGGGGGGAATGTTTTGGTCTCGGCTATGGCAGCAGAACGGCAAAGGACCGGCCCTGCTGCTGTTGGATGGTGGGATTAACCAAAGACTAATAAATATTTAAATAAATGCGGACACATCTGTTCAGTAAATATTCAGACTGCTTTGCAGAAGAGTTGCCTGCATTAGCTGGGCTGGGCTGGTATTATAGTGCACTGACTGGCTCTGTTGATGGGAAGGAGTTCACGGCTTCAACCTGGCTGGGTTCAAATACTATTCGAAGATTTCAAATAGTATTTGAACCCAGGTTATTCTGGGAGGACTGCAGGGCTGCCTAGAAATTGCTTACCGTTGATGTAGACAGATGGTAGACACAGTCAGATTCTCAACAATAAATCCTGTCCGGTACACACAATCATCTATTTATTGACTCCTGTTTTAGAACAGGTTATTTGGACCAGCACAGACAACAGAGTGTTGATTTACTCAAACCTACCCCAGCTTAAAAGACCCCCCACCTGGTTTAGATCGAATAGATTATTATGCACTTTACAACTATTTGTTTACTGTGATTTGACCACAACTTTTATTACTACTAATGCATTTTTCCTCTTTCTTTCTTTCCTCAGACTTTTATAGTAGTAAATAAAGGGAAGGCCATCTTTCGGTTCAGTGCCACGTCTGCTCTCTATATATTTACCCCTTTCACCTTCCTCAGAAGAATCTCCATCAAAGTCCTAGTCCATTCATATCCTTTACAACGGTCTGTCTGTCTACCTGTGGTTAGTGATGAACCCAGAGGAAAACAGTTCTATGTGATGTAATGTCTGGTCAGTAACGTTCTACATTATATAAACGAGTGATGTAATTGTTTCAGGGAAGCGAGCCAGGTTGTTCTTTCTTTGTTGACACTCGATCCCTTTGTTGTGTTGCTGTGTAGTATAGAGACACTTCATTTCAAAAACAATTCTATCAGTTTGGCCTGTTTGTTCATTTGTAAAGCAGGAGTTGTTTTCAGGGTAGCCTACTCAGTATAATGTCACAGAAACATGTAAGATTAAGATAAACTCTCACCCAGAAAAAAACTAAAACTGGTACCACTTTCCAATCGCCCCCTTAAAAAACAACAACTAAAAAGCCACACCCCTGCCATGCTTTCCTATACTGTACTGTACGATCAGCCAATTTCTAATATTTACAGATTCCCCTGGTAGGATCCCATTGGATCAGCTTTGTGATGTTCCTCCCTGGCATCGCCAACCAAATCCCTTGATCAGCTGCTCTTCATCTCCCAAATGAAATAAGAGCAAGGAGATTTCACGTCACATGACGGCTGCCTATTAGTTCTCAGACGGACGGCTTGTCCTTTGCATGCACGACTGAATCCATCCATCCTCTCTTTCTCTGCTGAATCCATCTATCCATCCATCCACTCTTTCTCTACTGAATCCATCCATCCATCCATCCACTCTTTCTCTACTGAATCCATCCATCCTCTCTTTCTCTACTGAATCCATCCATCCTCTCTTTCTCTGCTGAATCCATCCATCCATCCTCTCTTTCTCTGCTGAATCCATCCATCCATCCACTCTTTCTCTACTGAATCCATCCATCCATCCACTCTTTCTCTACTGAATCCATCCATCTATCCACTCTTTCTCTACTGAATCCATCCATCCTCTCTTTCTCTGCTGAATCCACCATCCATCCACTCTTTCTCTACTGAATCCATCCATCCATCCACTCTTTCTCTACTGAATCCATCCATCCTCTCTTTCTCTACTGAATCCATCCATCCTCTCTTTCTCTGCTGAATCCATCCATCCATCCTCTCTTTCTCTGCTGAATCCATCCATCCATCCATCCACTCTTTCTCTACTGAATCCATCTATCCTCTCTTTCTCTGCTGAATCAATCCAATTCACCTTCTTTCTTACGAATATCCCCCATCCACTCCTTTCTACTGACCCATCCTTACCATCTTTTCTTAAAAATCCATCCTCTCTCTGGAATCATCCATCCATCCATCTTTTTTAAGAATCCACCCATCCTTTCATCTTTCTTACGAATATCCATCCCTTTTTCTTATAAACCCAAATCCTCTCTTCTTGGGGAACCACCACCCCTCTTTTCTGGAATCCACCATCCATCCTCTTTTCTTGGAAAACCCTCCTCTTTTCTTGCTGAATCCATCCATCCATCCATCCTCCTTTCTTGCGAATCCCCATCCCATCTTCTTACTGAACCCCCCCCATCCCCCTCTCTTTCTCTGCTGAATCCAATCCATCTTCTTTCTCTACTGAATCACCCATCCCCCTTTTTCTCAAAGACCCAAACCCATCCCCCTCTTTCTCTATGAACCACCCCTCACCCTCTCTTTTTCTGCTGAACCATAACCATCTCTCTTTTTTGGAACCCACCCCATCCTCTCTTTCTCTACTGAATACCCACCCTTTTCTATGAATCCACCTCCCCTTTTACTAAATCCCCCACCACTCTTTCTCTATAATCCATCACCAACCCTCTTTTTTACTAAATCCATCCATCCTTCTTTTCTGCTAACCCCATCATCAATTTTTCTTATGAACCACCACCCTTTCCTTTCTCACGAATCTCCCCCACACCCATCCCTCTTTTTGGAAAATCCATCCCTCTTCTCTGCTGAATCCATCACCACCCATCCTCTCTTTTCTGGAATCCATCATCCAAAAATTTTTCTTAAAATCATCCATCCATCCTCTCTTTTTGCGAACCCATCCATCCCCTTCTCTACTGAATCCTCTCCCTTTTTTCTATGAACCACCATCCTCTCTTTCTCTAGAATCCACCATCATCCTCTTTTCTTGTAAACCCATCCACCCATCCCTTTTTTCTTGTGAACCCATCCCCCTTCTTTCTCTACTGAATCCATCCATCCTTTCTTTCTTATGAACCCACCACCCTCTCTTTCCTATAACCACCCATCACTCTTCTTACAAAATCCATCCCCATCCCCTCTTTCTCACTGAATCCATCCATCCTCTTTCTTGGAATCACCTCCATCTTTCTTACTGAACCCATCCACCCTCTCTTTTCTACTGAACCATCCATCCACCCATACTTTTCCCACTGAACCACCCACCTCCCTTTTTACTGAATCCACCCCACCCCTTCTTTCTTATGATCCACCATCCTCTTTTCTTACGAATCCCCCAAAATCCTCTTTCTCAAATTGAACACCATCCTCTCTTTTTACAAAATCCCCCCCATCCATCCTCTTTTCGGGGAACCCATAAAACCCATCCATCCAATTTTTCATGAATCCCCATCCTCCTTCTTTCCGGAACATCCATCCACCCACTTTATCTATAAACCCACCACACCCTCTTTTTACTGAATCAACATCCACCCACTCTTTCTCTGAATCCATCCTCCACCCTCTCTTTTTTAACTGATCCACCACCTTCTTTCTGCTGAACCCACCATCATCCCCTTTCTCTGCTAAACCCCTCTATCTTCTTTTCAGTGAACCCATCCATCCCCCCCTTTTTCTTGCTAAAATCCATCCTCATCCACTCTTTCTCTATGAATCCACCCACCCCTTTCTTTGAATCCACCCACCTCTTTTTCTGCTAAAATCCCCCCCATCCACCTTTTTTCTTGTGAATCATCCATCCTTCTTTCTTGCAAATCCACCCTCCTCTTTTTCTCTGTGAACCCATCCTCCATCTCTCTTTCTTATGAATCCATCCACCTCTCTTTCTTGTGAAACCTTTCATCCTTCTTTACTACTAAACCATCCATCCACCCCTCCTCTCTTTACTACTAAAACATCCATCCATCCTTTTTTATCTACAAATCATCCTCCCTCTTTCCTACGAATCCCCTCCTCCATCTCTCTTTCCAAATGAACCACCCACCCATCCTCTTTTCTTATAAATCCCTTTCCTCTTTTTCCTACTGAATCCATCCATCCATCCTTTTTTCTTGGAATCCACCATCCACCCATCATAAACTTTTTCTCTATGAATCCATCCATCCATCCCCCTTTTTCTCGCTGAATCCATCCACCACCATCTTTATTTATGAATCCACCCATCCATCCCTCTTTCTTATAATCCATCCATCCATCACTTTTTACGAAACCATCCACCTCTTTTTCTTATGAACCCATCCTCTTTTTTCGCTAATCCTTTCCATACCCTCTCTTTCGCTGAATCCATCTTCCTTCTTTTAGCTGAATCCATCCTCCCCCTCTTTTTCTTGGGATCCTCATCATCCCCTTTCTTATGAATCCACCATCCTCTTTTCTCGCTGAATCCACCATCCTTTTTCTCTGTGAATCCACCATCATCCTCTTTTCTCTCCCAACATACCCCCCTCTTTTCTGCTAAAACCATCCACCTTCTTTCTTCTGAACCCACCATCCATCCTTTTTTTCTTATGAATCCATCCATCCTTCTTTTCTCTGTGAACCCACCTTTTACCCCTCTTTCATATGAATCCACCCATCCACCCCTCCTCTTTAAATTGAACCCCATCCATCCATCCCTTTTTATCTATGAATCCATATCCTCTCTTTTTTACTGAACCCATCCTCATCCACCCTCTTTTTCATACGAACCATCATCCCCTTTCTTTTTATAAAACCATCCACCCTCTTTTTTTCCCTATGAATCCATCATCCTCTCTTTTCCTTGAACCCCCTTCCTCCTTTCTTAGAATCCATCCACCCAACTCTTCTCTAGAATCCATCCATTCACCCTCTTTTTTCTACTGAACCACCCTCCTCTTTTTCTTGTGAATCCATCCATCCCACTCTTTTCTACTGAACCCATCCACCCTTTCCTTTCTCTACTGAATCCACCATCCATCCATCCTCCCTTTTTCCCTTTTATGAATACCTTTCCCCCCCTCTCTTTTCTATGAACCACCCTCCTCTCTTTCTTATTATCCATCCTCTTTTCTTATGAACCCCATCCATCCATCCCCTTTCCTACTGAACCATCCACCCTCTTTTTCTCTAGAATCCATCACCATCCTCTTTTCTTGGTCATCCCCCCACCCACCCATTTTTTATGAATCATCCATCCACCCTTTTCTTTCTGCTAACCACCCATCCATCCACTCTTCTCTATGAATCTCCACCACCTCTCTTCTCTATGAATAATCCACCATCCACTTTTCCTATGAACTCCACCCCATCCTCTTTTTTTATGAATCCATCCCTCCTTTCTCTGTGAACCCACCACATCCTCTCTTTCTCTGTGAACCCATCTATCTCTTTTCAGCTAACCACCCATCCCCCCTCTCTTTTGTGAATCACCATCTATCCATTTTTTCTCTATGAACCATCCATCCTCTTTTTCTAATAACCACCACCTCTCTTTAAACCTAAACCACCACCTTCTTTCTCGCTAAACCCACCCACCCTTCTTTTTTTGCAAATCCCCCCACCCATCCTCTCTTTCCTAGGAATCACCATCCCTCCCCTTTTGCTGAATCCACCACCTCTCTTTTTTGCGAATCCAACCACCCCTCTTTCTCTAGGAATCCACCCACCCCTTCTTTTCTGTAAACCCCATTTTTCCTCCCCTTTCACTACTGAACCACCCACCACCCTTCCTCCTTTAAAAATACGAATCCACCACCACCCCCTTTCTCTACTGAATCCTCCATCCCCTTTTTTTCTTAGAATCCACCCAAACCATATCCTCTCTTTCCACAAATACCATCCACCTCTCTTTCTCATGAATCCATCCACCATCCCTCTTTCATACTGAATCCATCTCCCCCTCCTTTCACTATAAATATCCATTCCTCTCTTTCTTACTGA